TATTCCAAAAGGTGATATGGGAGCCAAAGGTGGTATTCAGCAGGTTCTGACAGGTTCTGGAGAACCGGTAGCAGAAAATTTTGAGTAGTTTGGACAACCGGCAAATACCACCTCTGACTGGCCCCACCCCCATCTGTTCTCTGCCTCCCAAGTCCCAGCTGATCGGTTGGGTCTTCTTTCGTTGCCCTGAACAGGAGAACGGAGCTGGGAAGCAGGTTAGTGGGGTGGGGAGGAAATGGGATTTTGCAGTAACTTTCCCCCAGGAGTGGGATGGGAATGAGATTTTGAGTATCCTTCCCCTGTCACGCTCACCAAGCCACGCCATGCCCACCAAGCCACGCCATGCCCACCAAGCCATGCCCACAGAACCAGTAGTAAAAAAATTTGAATCCCACTACTGATGGGAGCCATTTGCATCTCTGGATGGTTGCCTGTTCCAGAGGGCCAGGGCAGAAGGAGAACAGGTAGCCTCTAAAACAGATGCAGGTTCTGTAGAACCAGATGGAATTTACTTTCAAATGCATGCTTTGTTTTTGGTTTGGGTTTTTTTTCTCTTGTTTTGAGTTGCTTGATATCTGGAATAACCTTAAGTATTAATGGGGCAGGGAATTAGAAGGTGTTAATGAAGTCACAATTAGGTTTCAATTAAATTAACAACAAGCTCTCTTAGAATGTATAATCTAATTTGTTAATCAGCCCTGCACAGCATATTTCGATGGAGAGTGTAAGGAAGTGAAACCAAGTGTTACAAATCATGGAATACATTAAATTAAAACAGAACTACTGAAGGATTCAGCATGATGCCATTTTTATACAACCCCCCCCCCCCCTCTTTAAAATCTAATAATACAATCTATAGAATTGCTCCTTCTGAGAATCTGTGCTTGGTATCATATTAATGAGACATCCCCAAACCCTCTTTGGCACTAGCTCTCAGGAAGATTTCTTCAATGGTTTAAAGGTTAAAATAAGCAAAATAAGGAATTGCAGAAAGCTCAAAAGTACGATGCACACTTTAAAAAGTGGGAAGGAAGGATGTGAGAGAAGAAGGAAAGGAGGAATTTAATATTTCAACATGAAGATAGGAATCTGTATAGACTTTAATGAGGATAACTTTTCCTCATTAATCTATAGCTTTAAAGAAATGTACTCATGCCTGGACTATCATTTGCAGCAGGTTTAGGCTGAAATCAAGAAAAAAGTTGAGAAGATGCTAATGTTTGGTTTTCCCCCTGGAAATCTGATAGGAAACAAAGATTATTAGTTTGCTGTTGATTTTCCCCAAATTTATTGGTTTGAATGATAAACATTATTCTGTCATTAACCTATGCAAAATAAGAAAAAAATGAAAATACCTTCTAATTATAAAACCCATCACAACACAAGGTATTTTAGCAATAGTAGAGAAAAGCTTAGCTACATTAAGGAGGAGAACATCACAATCTGTTGGACAATAATATCTGCAGATAACATTAATTTGGGGTGACCTAGACAGGGAGTTGTAACTCGACATCCTTGCTATAAGAGCAACAAAGCTTGAAGTTTTAATAACTTCTTCACAAAAAGTCTTTTTTTTCCCAGATGGAATATCCTGAAATTTCCACTCGAGAAGAGATATTGGAAGAGTATTAAATCTTCCCAGAGATGGGTCTTTGCTATCTCCTGCCATAGACCCCACCTGCCTGTCTGCTGTCAATGACTACCCAGTTTCAAGGAGAAAAAGCCTTCAGCAACGCGGATGCCCAGCAAAATACCAGGGACTGGAAAGTCGGGAGGGGGGGGTATGAGGCAGAGAGATCACTCCAAGAGCCATGGATTCAATGCTTGCAAATCTGAACTTTGCTGCAATATTCCGCCATATTGTCCCTGCGCAGGAAATACATTGGCTCAGCTGGCCCCTCCAAGACTGCTGAGGTTATGAAATGAGAGAGAACGGAAGCGGCTTTGCAACTTTTAATCTAACCTATCACAGATGTTGGACTTCCAAGTCATATTATCAAAAATAGAAGGTGCCTTCCTCACACAAGTGGAGGAGGCAAAGATGTAAAACATAGGACAACGTTATGTTTTTAGGGTCAGAGAGGGGTATATCTCCCTGCACTTGTTCAGTCATAACATAACATCTAGAAGTGTTTCTCAATCAATTAGAATAGAGCTGGAAGGGACCTTGGAGGTCTTCTAGTCCAACCCCCTGCTAAGCAGGAGACTCTATACCATTTCAGACAGGTGACTGTCCAGTCTCTTCTTTTAAAAACCCAACAATGAAGCACCCAAAACTTCTGAAGGGAAGCCGTTTCACTGGTTAATTATTCACTGTTAAGAAGTTTCTCCTTAATTCCAGGTTGCTTCTGTCCTTGATTAGTTTCCATCTATTGTTTCTTGACCCACCCTCTGGTGCTTTGGAAAATAAATTAACCCCCTCCTCTTTGTGGCAGCTTCTTCAATACTAGAATACTGCTATCATGTCCACTAGAACTCCAAGGTCCCTTTCACTATTACTCTGTTTGAGCCAGGTTTCACGTAATCTGTACTTGTATCTTTGGTTTTTCCTGCCCAGGTGTAAACCTTGCTTTTCTCCATATTAAATTTCATGTTGTTGGATAGGGCCCGTTTTTCAAATTTTCAAGTCTGTCAAGATCTTTTTGGATCCTGAGCTTGTCTTCTGGGGGAGTTGGCTATTTTTGCCAGCTTAGTGTCATTTACAAATTTGATGAGTTCTCCGTCTATTCCCTCATCTGAATAATTTATGAAGATATTGAAGAGTACTGGGCCTAAGACCAGGGGTGGGATTCAAATTTTTTAACAACCGGTTCTGTGGGCGTGGCTTAGTTGGTGGGTGTGGCTTGGTAGTCATGTTATTGGCTGGGCATGGCCAACTCAATATCACTCACATTGAGGCACGCATCTCCTCGCCTGGCCTCTTATGACTGTGGGGATGCTGCAAAAGTCGTAAGTGTGAAAAATAGTCATAAGTCACTTTTTTTCAGTGCCATTGTAACTTTGAATGGTCACTCCACACAAGCAAAGTACTAGCAAAGGAGGGGAAAAAAACTCCAGAGAAGTTCCTGAGACAGGAAGTCTAGTCCTGCCAAGAATGTAATAAGGGTTAATGGAGAGGCAGTTTCTGTAAGCAACACCAGAATGTTTCCTTCCTGCTTTCCTTACAGGATTAGGCCAGTAATTTCTTCTAACAACCGGTTCTCCGAACTGCTTAGAATGTTAACAACAAATAGGTGCAAACTGGTAGGATCCCACCCCTGCCTAAGACAGAACCTTGTGGTACCCCACTGCTTACTTTCCTCCATATAGATGTAGTACCATTAAGGACTACTCATTGAATATAGTTTGTCAGCCAGTTACAAATCCATCTGGTGGTGGTGATGCTTTATATCCCACATTTTTCTAGTTTACCAATTTTTACTTTTAAAAGAATCTCAGCAATTTTTAGAAGTTGAGGAATTCTGGGAGTTGACGTTCACACATTTTGAAGTTGTTGGAACTGAGAAACCCTGATCTAGAATTCCATCCAGCATCACATTAATGATTTCTGTGGATTCACAGTTACTTGACTTTTTCTATCCACAAGTGAGACTAAACTCTTTCAGGCAATACAAGGGCTGCATTTGGCTTGTGAAACAAATGCCTGTGGCCATTTTCCTAAAAGTGAGAGCCTTGGATGAGAAAGGGACAAGACAAAAATGAAGTCACTGAGGTCGAATTTTGGGTAATTTAAATTCAAATCACAATTCATTCATTAGTATTAATATGATTGCTTCCCATGAAATTGGTCTGTTAATATTTCATAGTGTAATTAATTAATTTTCTTCTCACTTGCAACATATACTGTAATAATTTTGGAGGATCCACTTCCAAAGTTTCCAAGCTTGTGCAAACTGAGATTCCTAGCTGTTGACAGATCAGAAGCTGCTTTTGCAGTTTCTTTAGTTAGACCAACTATTAGGCATTCTCCTTTACCTACAATTCTACTGACTTGCTGTAACATTGAACTGGCAGCTAAATCCAGCCTCTCTTGGAATCTTCAGATAGGTTACTGATATATCAACGTGGATCATAGGAGTAGCTTTTAATGGATATGAACATCAACATCCATCAGCTTCACAGAGACATGGATCTCTGGCTTACAGCTGGTGACCACAGAAGATTACATAGTTTTGTCAAATGCCACAGAATTTACTTCTAGATAAATATGTGTAAGACATTCATTTTCTGTTTTTGTTTACACGTTGAATAGAACAGAATAATAGAGTTGAAAGGGTTCTTGGAGGTCTTCTAGTCTTAACCTCCCACCCAAGCAGAGATCCTATACCATTCTGGACAAACGGCTATGCAATCTCTTCTGAAAAACCTCCAGTGACGGAACACCACAGCTTCTGGAGACAAGCTGTTCATTGATTGTTCTCATTGTCCAGAAATTTCTCCTTAGTTCTAGGTTGGATCTCTCTTTGATAGGTTTCTACCTGTTATTTCTTATCTTGCTCTCAGGTGCCTTGAAAAATAGGTTGTCTTTTTCTTTGTGACAGCTCCTCAACTGTTGAAATACTGCTACCACATAGTCCTTCTCTTTGTTAGACTATACACACCCATGTTCTGCAACCATTCCTCGTGTTTTAACCACCGCCCCCCTAATCATCTTTGTTGCTCTTCTCTGCACTCCTTTTTGGGTTGATTGCCCTGGGATTTATTCCTGGAATTAGCTTCTAAAGTGAATGAATGCATAGACTCAAGAGAAAATAGTTAAGGGAGCAATGCTGATGGTTTTTCTCACAGAAGCGGTTATAGGTGCGCTCTTTATAACACAGTGCAGTAAATACATAGTAAAATAACAGAAGCATTAAGTAGGCATGCAGTCAAATGTGAGCAGCTCTATGATCAGATGCTGGTGATGTAAAACATTATCCTTAGAGCTTGGGTGTACAACTAGTCTTATGTCCCTCTTTGTGACCTCATATTTTTATTTACTCCTTCAATATACATGGCTGCCCCTCTCAAATTTATGACTCTGGTCTTGTCTATTTGCAGTTTTGGGGAACTTGTACTGAGATAATTACTTCAAAAGAATATAATGATGAATAGGTACCTTTCATAAAGATTCCATGCAGGTTAAAGCCACCAAGGTTGAGGGAAAACTGCTATAAATCAATCAATTCAAGATCTAATGGGGAGAGATACTGTAAAGCAGCACCTCACCGCTACGGCTCATTCACGTACTGTTTTACATTGAACTGTGCATTCATTAGTGGCTCAAAGCCTTTCCGGTGTCTCTTGTGTTGTAAGAGGATAAGGAGAAGGGCCAGCACAACTAAAACTACGAGAGCTCCTACAATAGTGGATCCCACCATCAGGGCCCAAGCCTGGGATTCTTCATCAGATTCTGAAAAAAAGTAGAGAAACATTATGAGGTGTAACAACATTGTAGGTAAGAAGCACCACAACATTAGGTACTCCGCCACAGCTCTTAAAAACAAAAGAGATGCACTGAGTGGAGAGGTAACCTCGATGTACTGAAATTAGGAGTAGCAGAGCCCTTGTGGATTTAATGTGGGGACTATAAAAACCAGAGTTCCAATTCTCTTTGGGATTTAAAGATTCTTCATATTGACCTGCTGTCAGACAACCTGCTGCTTGCTGCCATGGACAAGGGAGGGGTCAGTGGAGAATCTTTTGTTGCAGCTTTGCAACTACAATATGGGCTTTGCGTATCCCTCCAAGGTCATTTCTTCTAGCTTTGGTATACAGCAGTCCTCTGGTTGCCTAGCTACAAGGGGGTTGGGCTCTACAGTTTCTTTCAATTTGCTGTTTCGTGCGCTTTGCCTCAGATCTTGCCTGAAACTTGTTGCTTTCCTTCGTTCCTAGTAAAAGTACTTTTCTCTGAACCTATGGAGCCAAGGATTTTTCTTTCCTAGGAAATGGACAGAGGCAGCCCTGACACCTGACTCAAAAGGTTGCTGTGAGAATAGATGGACCTTTAAAACCTGCAGACTAATTCCACGGCATCAGCCACAAAGATCTTGCATTAGCTACAGTAACATGGTGCATGACTGTTATGCAATTCATAAAGAAAGAATTATGAATTAATATTACCTGCTAGATCAATGTCATAGCTATAGCCAAGTTGCTCAGCAGTTAGAAACATTTCCTTATTGGTGACAGGGGGGAAGAAGGGCACCATGTTAAACATCTGGTTGTGACCAATGGGTGCCAGTTCCTTGGGCCAGGCAGTGTCCAATGGGTTGAATCGTTTCATCCACTCATCAAATACAGCATCAGTGAAGGAATGAAGGACCTGTAATTCCAATTGATATTCATCTTAAATTATTAATATGGCTATGCAAATATAATGAAAATAAACTACCACCCACAACTACTTTCTGGCTATCCATCATACTCAAGAGACATTCTGTCTAGAGGTGGTATTCAGCAGGTTCTGACCAGTTCTGGAGAACTGGTAGCAGAAATTTTGAGTAGTTGGGAAAACTGGCAAATACTACCTTTGACTGGCCCCACCCCCATCTATTCTCTGCTTCCCAAGTGCCAGCTGATTGGCTGTGTCTTGTTTTGTTGCCCTGCACAGGAGAATGGAGCTGGAAAGCAGGTTAGTGGGGTGGGGAGGGAATGGGATTTTGCAGTAACCTTCCCCTGCCATGCCCACCAAGGAACACCATGCCCACCAAGCCATGCCCACAGAACCGGTAGTAAAAAAATTTGAATCCCACCACTGATTGTGTCCTGAAGAATGAAAGATGTTACAGAACAAAAATTGTAAAATTAGCCATTCCTATTCTGAGAAACGTTCAACTAATCCATATTCTCTTCCAGGTATCTGCAGACTGGCCTGTGCTTCAGGTTAAACCTCGGGGTAAATATATTTTTTTGTAATTGGGGACCACAGGTTCATGGGGGTGGGGGGAATATAATAACTACAGAAAGTAGAAATAAGATTTTCAGGAGTTTTTTTCTCCCTGAGATGGAGGCACAGGGGCACCATGAAAGAATCTGTCAACATTTAAAATGCATTAAGTCCATCAGCAGCTTCACTCATCCATTTCCTTTAGGTTCCTGCTACAAATTGGTGAGGAAATTGCTCTCCTGGTGTCCGGAAATTTACTACAGAACTAAAACATTAGGTTTGTGGGAGAGCTCAGAAACAGCATCTCAGCCAGTATCGTTCACCTCTTGCTATAGGCTCCGTTCTAAGAACAATTTTGTACAAGCTAACAGACTTCAGGAAGTTTTTGGCAAAAGAATAAAGCTACGTGTGAAAAACTTATCCACAAGTTTTTGACAAATTTAACGCACTCACCAGTCAGTCAAAAGTCTTTAAAACAGAGTCTTCTTATAGAATCAACATAAAATCCCAGATGGTTGGAAATCAGATTCTTTTTTTAAAAGGTCTAAATGCTTACAAACAGTGTTGTTGTTTTTGATGTTGTTTTGTCCTCATGTCCTTTGACATCTCTCTATAAAGAGAGATTACCCCAGAAACAAATCTTTGAAAGGCTCTCCATTTGAAGCAAATATTATTGGCTTTTTCTTCATGATGGTTAAGATTCTTTATTACAACCAGGTCTCAGAGGAGGCTTAGCATCAGACACCAAACCACTATTTCAAACCTGCGGAAAAGGAATCTTGGCAATCTTACTGATATTTACTAAGGGTGAATGTTCAAGTCCTTCCTCTTTCGGTTACTTGTGCTGACAGATACAGGGATTAAACTTTAACCAGCAGAGGGAGCTCACAGAAAATCAAAAGGAGTCTGGTAGCATTTTTTTTGACTAACAGATTTTATTAAAAAGTTTAATTTCCCATATGCTGCAGCTTCATGCTTTTTAATAATATTTGTAGGTTGGGGAAAAAATCTATCAGACACCCCCCTCTGATTTTTTTTTTCCCCACCACAGCTGATACAGCTGTCTTCCTACAACGTCTTTAGCCCCCAGAATCCAAAGGGCTGTAAGTGAAGTACTGGAAAAACACAACAGTTTCAGTGTGTCCATATGCTATCTTTGCAGAATACTATTTTCTTCTCAGCTGCTTTTAATAATGTGGCCAGTAATGGATACCCCTGGCTTCAGAACATAATAAGAAATGTCACTTTCAAAATCACAATGAACCAGATTTTACTATCTCATTATAAGGCATTTTGCCTATTGCAAGAAACTGGAATGTTCATAACACTGATTAAATCTGAAGCAGGATTTGGAAAATCATTTCAAATATCGTCCTGCCCCCCCGATATGATTCACTCTTGGCTCCTAATCTATCAAATGTGGGGATTAAGCAGTGGTGGGATTCAATTTTTTTTTTACTACCGGTTCTGTGGGCATGGCTTGGTGGGTGTGGCAGGGGAAGGATAGTGTAAAATCTCCAGTCAGAGGTGGTATTTGCCGGTTCTCCAAACTACTCAAAATTTCCGCTACCGGTTCTCCAGAACTGGTCAGAACCTGCTGAATACCTGCTGAACATCTCTGAGATTAAGGGTTTCTCAAATGTTTGAATCTCTCTTTTAATCCACCAGATCTGTGAGGAACATACTGTGAGATAAGTGATGGAAAAAAAATACTACTGGATCTTTCAATTTTTCTTTCCTATACCTTCTCTCTACCATTTTGAACTAATTGTAACTGACTATAACTAATTTGGGGTAACTGATAACCTGATTGTAAACTTCCAAGTGCTTCAGACCTCAGCATATATAAAATCTAATAATATTTCAACAACAGCCACAAGAACAACAAGAAGAAAAGTGAAAATCAACTGAATATTTTGAGTAGTTTGCAAGATAAATTAAATGTCTGATTTGCTTCCCAATAAATTTAAATAAAACCCAAAACATTTATATGGTCTATTTAAGTTAAATTTCCATATGTTGATATATAATATGTAAATTTTGTCCTATGTCCCATTGATGCATGCTCAAAGGAGTTCACAGTGCACAGTAGAATAATGTCAATGTTTTTATTTGTGTTGCTCATGAAATACTCATTTTGAAAAAGACTAATAGTCTATCATACTATTGCTGCTGACTTCTTAACATTTTTACCATATCTGCAGTTTCCTGCTTATTGCTATTCCAAACTAAAAGCATAGTAGTCAATAGAGATTACATATACTAGAAACTACAGTAGAAAATATTATTTTCACTTTAAGCATAAGTCCATTTTCTGCTGGACTTGTAGAGAAAAGTTCTTATGTAGTCATGTTTAATTCTAAATGTTTATGGAAATCAAAAGCAGAAGAATGTACCACAAAAATAGGATCATTTGCCGCAGAATGGGGGAAAGCTCCCGTTCCATTCAAAACAGAGTGAATCAAATTATGGAGACTGATGATTGGCGGTTCAAGGCTTCCATCTGGTTCAGCAAAACCTTCCAATGTGTTCCTGTGACAAAGGCACATAAATAGTCATGGACACCTAACATCAAAAGTGTCATCAAAAAAGCACAACAACAAAAAATGTTCTTCCTGTGCCAACTCAAAAAGCTCAGACTGCTCAAGGAGCTGCTGATACAGTTTTGCAAAGGAATGATTGAGTCTGCCATTTGCACCTCTATAACTATCTGGTTCGGCACAGCAACCAAACAAGACAGACAAAGACTTCAGTGGATAGTTAGTTATATGCAGAAAAAAACACCATTACAACTGGCCTGCCTTCCATTAAGGACCTGTATATTCCATGAGCCAGAGAGAGAGCTAAGAAAATACAGACCCCTCACATTCTGGCCATAAACTGTTTCAACTTCTTCCCTCAAGACAATGCTACAAGTCATTGAATGCCAAGACAACTAAATACAAGGACAGTTTCTCACCACCACCCCCAATGCCATCACTCTGCTAAACAATTAATTCCCACAACACTGTCTATGCCCTGAGATGTCAAACCACCTAGTAGGGTTGTATTGCTATTATCCTTCTCAGCTTTCCTGTTACCTATTTCCTTAGCTTCTTATGACTGTAACTTTGTTGTTTGTATTTTATGGTTTATGTTGATTGTTTTTATTTAGTATCCTATTATGATTCATGTTGATTGCTCATTTAGCATCCTATGACTATTACTGTTGTATCTTGTGATTTATGATGATGGTGTGTTTTAGTTTAGTTTAGTTTAGTTTATTGTCATTGCACTTCGTACAATGAAATCAAACACCATCTTCAGTGCACATCATGGACATGACCATGAAAATAAACACAAACACACATCCTTCACCCTCTACACATTGAACCGAAAACCCCCGACACCGCACCAACACTGCACTATACAGCAGAATTCAAAAGAGCTACTTGTCCTGGGATAGAAGCTGTTTTTCAGCCTATCTATCCTTGTTTTTGTTATTGTCCTGTACCGTCTGCCAGATGATAATAGTTCAAAAAAAGGGTTCCCAGGATGAGATGGATCTTTGAGAATGTTTTGAACTTTCTTAAGGCAGCAAGAGCTATAAAGCTCTTCCAAAGTGGGGAGAGGGCAACCAATGATCTTCTGGGCAATGACTTTAACCCTCTGGAGTGCTGTCCTATCTGCCACTTTGCGATTGGCAAACCATACAGAGGTGCAGTATGTTAAAATACTCTCTATAGTGCAACGGTTTTTTATGATTGTGATCATGATTTATCACGTGTTGCTTATATGTACACTGAGAGCTTATGCACCGGAGACAAATTCTTTATGGGTCCAATCACACTTGGCCAATAAAGAATCCCATTCTAGGCCACATCTAGCTATCTCTGGCCAGAACTAAAAGTCATTGTCAAGCAGCAAAACCCCTTCTGAAATTCAAAGGACTCACCTGAAACTGAATCTAGAATTCCGAAAGAAAGGAGGGTTATCAAAATCCTGAAGAGAGAGACACTTCTGAATGTCTTCCAGGGTTGGCAGCTTATCATCAGCTTTGCTAAAAGGGTACCTCTGCAAAGGCCCCTCGTTGCTTCCATTACACAGTGTGACCAGACGGTTATAATCATTCAAACTTAGGTTTAAAATAAGACAGATAGCAATAGTTAGATCTGTTAGTTAGATCTGGTTAGTAATGTCTGACCAATTTTGTTTCATGACTTATACAAAGGGAAAGAATTAAACCTTTAATTAGTTACCTGAACAATTAATGGCACAAAGGATTTAAAAAAAAAATTAGCAGAATTTTGATATACTATACGATATTTGGTAATAATCACTCTACATCAATTTGGCACTTTCCATGATTAAAATTAACATCCTCCTCTATAAGCACAGCTAACAGTTCTAGTGTGCAGGTTGAGGGTGATGAAAGCCAAAATACAAAACACATCCAAGGTCAGGTTTACAACTAAGATTGTTTACAGGATAACAACAGCCATCCTAGGTAAAACTGGAAGATATTATTATATAGAACTAGATTTCTGAAACTATTTGTGATCCCTGTCACTTCTGAAAATTATGTAGAACTCCAAAAGAGATTTTGTTTGTGCTATTTTTATTAATATTTACTATATTGAACATTAAAATTGCATATTTGTAGCATGTTTACTACTTATTGAACCACATAAAAATAACAATATTTGATTAGATATTAAAATATTTTTATGAAAATACTTATTTTTTTAAACAAATAAAAATAATGATGAGAGTGACATTGTTTTACATTTTTGCAGTACCTTAAACATTTGACAAATAAATCTGATTTTGCAAATCCCTGAGGAGGACTTGGAGGAGCCCCAGGGGGGTCCTTGGGCCATTCTTTAAGAAGCACTTCTTTAAAATGTCAGTTTTACCAATTCTGAAGTAAAACGAGATGTAATGTTACTTCTTAAAATGGCTGAAGTGCTGCAGGGGAGAAAATCAGATAATTGGCATCAACTGAACACAAGGTATTTGTGCCTTAACAATATTAACTTTAATCCTGTTAAAATTCTGGCATCAGTAGCTTGGTGACCTGAAGTAAAAGCAACCCATGGGGAAGGAATGGCTTTCCTTCTCATAATTTAGTGAAAATAATTGTGCATTAGAGGAAGAGGGAGAATTAGACAAAACATGATCATGAAGTTTATTCACATAACATGGTTTAATGGTTTTAAGCTTTTGGGAGGCTTATATAATATTTGGAAATCTTGTAGGGAGTTCTTTTGCCCATTCACAAAATGGCTGTCATGGGTGACATAACCTAAGATAAGGCTGATCTTTCTTCCTTTCAATCCATCTCAATTTACCTGAGATCAAATTACTGATCTCTTGTCATGTTTCTTTCTAAGAAACCCCATGAAGCTTATTTGGGGTCCAGAGTCATACTTCCACGTACAGGTGATATTTTGGTTCAAACATAATGAAAATGTTCCTTGCTACCTCAGTGGTGGCACCAGCTAAAGTTGTGCCTGAACCAAGGATGTGTCAAATGTGTTTGTAACATAATCACCTTTTGTCAGTCACAGAATTGGAAGTTGCCTCAGATATGGCCTCCTTTACTCTTGTGTTACTTCACCAAGGCCACCTTCACCGAAGTACCATAAAGCTTAGGATTGTTTAGTAAAATAGAAAATTAACATAGAAATATTCAATGTTTAAAAATATCGAGGGTTTGGTAAGAAGCATATTTACAGTATTTGAATCCAATCTTTGTATGGATTAAATAGTTGAAAGACAGATAGTTAAGCACAGTGGCAAAGGGAAATTATTAGTATAGACAGGTTGAACATCAATGTTTCACTGGTTTCAAAATGTTTGTTACCTATTGCAAACTATCTCCCATTCTGAGAATCTTGAATTACGACTTATTAAATTCAGCTCATCTGGCCTTGATGCTCCAAAAAATTGATCTGTGCACACGTCGCATTCGTTTTTGCCTGTAGCGAAATTCCAGAATGGCAATGCAAAGGACTCGTTGCCAATCAGTCGCTAAAAAAAAGGGGTGTGTGGAGAAGAGATGGAGAAAAGAGATCAGTCACATCTTTATATTGGTCTTTGGCAATGCCATTTACAATTTTTCATACCTTTGCAATATCTCTTGACTTTGTTCATGAAAATGATATATTCCATCAATAAAGTCCATGTCATTTCATTCGCCAACTGACACAGCTTATTCTTTTTTTTAATGTAGGATTCATGCAAGCTTATCCTGGCTAGCTACTCAATAGCAATGGAATAGTTAAGCAGAATAGCACAAAGTGCTTTAAAATAAGTTAGTATTCCCTATTTTCTTTTTCTGGGCTGCTCTCATTAACGAACCCCATCATCCAATCAATATTGCAGCAACAACAAAATAAGCATCACAGATGCATTTCAATGTAGCTTTGCTTAGAGTATTAGTATTTGAAAGATGACTGTGACAACAAAATTAGATAGATTCTTCTTAGTGCTAATACATTGTTCTTCTACCTGCAAGCTATAAGAGGAATTCTAACAGTCTGTCTAGAATATCTGGAGACATTATGCATTCTCAGGGTGTTTATTTTTCTTAGCATTATACTTCTTTATTAGGATGGTAAGATGCAGAGAGCCTTGGGGAAATGTATACATGCTTTTACTAACATCAGTTAGAAACAGTCTATTTCAAAAATACATTCACCAAGAAGAAGATTTGAAAAATGGAGATTTTATGGTTTGGGAATAAGAAGACAGACTGTTACATAGTTTATTGGTTCATGTTTATCTATCCAAACATGGAATGAACAAATTAAAAAAGCTATAAAATACACACCTGTTTAAAAATAGCTATGTAGAAGGAAAATGTACATGTCTTGGTTTATCACAGATAGGCCCTGTAAATATTCATTCTTGTAAACCTTACTGTAGAATAGTATTAGTGATTTAAAATTAATATATGCTGATTTCTAGTGTAACCCACAAAATATCTCTTCCTCCTCTAGCCCTTCTACATTGTTTCTTCTTCCTTTTTTCTTCCTCCTTCCCTCTTTCTTACTCCCTGTTCCTTCCTTCTTTCCTTTCTCCCTTCCTTCCTCCTTATAATTCTCTTTCCCCTTCCCTTCTCTTTCCTGTTCTATACTTCCTTCCTTTCCTCTCTCCTTCCTTCTGTTTCTCCTTCTTCCCTCTCTCCTTTCTTCCTCCCTCCCTCCTGCCTTCCGTCCCTCCCACTAGCTTCCTCCTTCTGTCCCTCCCTCCCTCCCTCCCTCCCTCCCTCTTCCCCCTTATTTTCTCAGATAAGTGGGGCAGCAGAGTGCAGTGCATGGGTCTGGGGCTCCCAGGGATAGCACTGAAAACGAGGATCACATGATCATACCAGCATAATAGCGGTGCATGAAAGAGCAGCAGCAACAGCACAGCAATGCTGAAGCAGCTTGCAAATTCCCCAAATTTCATTCCCTCAGTAGTAATGGCTCCCAACATTCTGTAACTGAGCCCACATGGTGGTGCAGTGGTTAAAATACAGAATTGCAGGCTAATTCTGCCCACTGCCAGATGTTTGATCCTCACAGGCTCAAGATTGACTCAGCCTTCCATCCTTTCGAGGTCAGTAAAATGAGGACCCAGATTGTTGAGGGCAATATGCTGACTCTGTAAAACGGTTAGAGAGGGCTGTAAATACACTATAAAGTGGTATATAAGTCTACTGCTATATGAGATACCTTGTTTGAAAAGGTTTTACCCTATGATGCATTATTTGTTATATTTGTT